TGTTTGCTATATTAACATTTATCATCTAAGCCATCACCCAACTCTTTTTTACTTTTAGGCATCAATGCAGGAAGAACCAACAATATTTCAGCAAACGGAACAGCTTATAGAAGCCTGTATAAAAGAAGACAGGCAATCGCAGAGCAGGCTTTATAATGCATACAAGCAAAAAATGTTTGTGGTGTGCCTTCGTTATTCAAAAAACCGCGAAGAGGCAGAAGAGATTTTGCAGGAAGGGTTTATGAAGGTATTTGAGTTTTTGCATCAATATAAATCAACCGGACCGTTTGAGGCGTGGATGAGGAAAATAATGGTAAACTGTGCTTTACAGAAATACCGCAGCAAAGGAAATTTGCGCCCGGTCATTGATATTGATACTGTAGCGGTCGAATACGAATCACACGAAGACATTCTTGCAAAAATAGGCGCCAAAGAACTTTTAAAAATGGTGCAGCAACTGCCTCCGGCCTATCGCATGACCTTTAACCTGTACGTGTTTGAAGGGATGAAACACCGCGAAATTGCAGAACTGTTGGGCATATCCGAAGGAACCTCAAAATCTAACCTCTCAGATGCGAGAGCTATTTTGCAAAAGGCTGTAAGCAAAAGTAGTCAGTCATCACAAGTAAAATACAACTAAGCATGGATGAAAATTTACACAATATTGATGACTTGTTTAAGAAGGCAATGAACGGGCACGAAGAAATGCCTTCGGAAAACGTATGGGAGCAAATTGATAAAAACCTCGACAAAAAGAAAGTTGTATTTATCTCAAAGAAGTATAACAAACTTAAATGGGTTGCCGCTGCCCTGCTGATGTTTTCTGCCGGCATGGCCATGTATACATGGCACACCAAATTGAAAAACCAGGAACTGGCAAAACAAAATACTATTGATGCAAAAAAGAAGATTGGAATGTCAGAAAGAAAGAAAAATATTTTTATAGATAATGATACGGATAAAACATCCTTAGCTGAGGTCGAAAAGAAAGCACTGCTAAAAGATACGGCATCGATAATTAAGCAGGAAAAAAAGATGGATTTACCCGAAGTAAATAATACACCTAACGAACAAAATGTAAACAATAATAAAAAAATACGAATTGAAGCTTCTAAACAAAATGCTGCAGATTTTAAAAATAACACATCTGCCAGCTTAGCGAAAAGCACAAAAAAACAAGAGAAAAGTCAAAAAAGGATTTTGGAAGAATCAATTAGAATTGACGGAAGTAATTTACGCAAAAATCAGAATAAAGAACTAATCGCAAAAGAAGGTAAATCTCTTCTTACTGAAAAACAAAAAGATACAATTAGCAGGAATTTTGATTTATCAATAGAAAATGCACGCAAACAAGTTGCTGCAAACATTGAAATTCACAAGCCTGACCTTAAGATCTCGTCAACTAATTTCTCATTGCAACGTCTTTTACAAACAAAAACAAATACGAATACCAAAATAACATCTGAAAAAATTTCAACCGCCAGGGCAACAAAATACAATATTAAAAAAAGTCTCAAAAAATCTTTGTTTTCTGCTAATTTCTTCTACTCACCAGACTTTGTTTCAAGTGAGGTAGATGACGATCACCATCATTTTAGAGACGAGGACAGAAACGAAATAAAAAACAAGGAAGAAATTAAAAATGCTTTCAGTACCGGTCTTTTAATAAATTATTATACAGGTAAAAAATGGAGTGTTCAATCCGGTCTCACTTTCTCTTCCCAAACCACGGCTATTGCGCCAAAACAAATTTACGCGCGGCAAGACAACGACGGGCACGTGAACTACAGGTTTAATTGCTCGGCAGGCTATTCATATATTCCAGGTAAAACAGGAAGTACAGTTGCTTTAGGAGACAGCATTCCGGCTCTTTCTTCTAAAAATATTCTTCAATATATCGGTGTTCCGGTTGCTGTTAAATACAACATCACCAAAGGAAAATTCAGCCTGAGTCCCGGAGTTGGAATTGCCATCAATTTTTTATCGAAAGGAAAAATTGAAACAGCTATCCCGGGAACGAACGGGCCTGAAAAAACTAATTTAAACCACATTGAAGGATTGAAATCTATTTTTCTTAACGGATCACTTGGCGTAAGCGCAAATTATAATTTAAACCGAAATATTGCCCTCAGCTTTTCGCCTGCGGCGAGGTTTGCTTTAACATCTATCAACAAAGATGCGCCTGTTAAAACTTATCTTAATGCGTTAGGACTTGCTGCAGGACTTACATTAAAATTATAGATCCCAACTGCGGATTTTAGTAAAAGGCAGCCTGAGCAAATAACCTGCAGTCAGTTCGTCAAAATTATTGTAAGCAGGTATGCCGGTAACTACTAAATCCTGGTTTATGTTGAGTCTTATGGTATGATGAATACGATCCCAAAAAGAAAATATAACAGCATAATTACTGTCAGTCTCCTGCCTAACAACGGAATGATGAATGCCGTGCATTCGCGGTGTCACAAATATTTTATTCAATTGTTTTTCGAAATGATAAGGAAGCTTCCAGTTGCTGTGATGAAACTGCGTAGCAGTTTCAAAAAAGATTTCATACAACAAAACATCGAAGGGTGAGGCGCCTGATAAAAAAACAAATGCTCCGCGATAAAAAACAGAACCGACTATTTCACCGAAGTGAAAACGGAGAGCTGTCGTAACATCAAGGTCGGGATCGCAATGATGCACCAAATGAAAACGCCATAAGAGAGGCAATTTGTGATTTAAAATATGCCAGAGATAGTTGGTATAATCTAAAATTAAAAAGGCAGCTCCGGTTTTAACGATGGGGTGAGCTTTGTATTGATGATTTATTCCCCACTGCAGTTGTTTGTTCTTCAAAGCCAGCTTAACCATTACAGGAAGCAACAAAAACCGCAGCAGCGTGAAAGCCGGAAGTGATACAAGCGAATTTATAATTGTGCGCTTTTTGCGCGATTGTTTTCGCCTGCGCAATGGCCGCCTGCCTTCGGCTATAAACAGCACAACGAATACTGCTGTTAAAACAGGTGCGCCTCTAAAATCAAATACACGCCTGATAATTTTCATAAAAAAACCGTTCTAAGAAAAAAGCAGTATAAAAAATGCGTTTGTGACTTTTGACAAACAATATCGAAAACAACCAACATTATTCCCTCAATTTTTCTCCTTCACTTTTACCGGGCTGAAGTGTTGTGTCTTTATTTAAATCTAATTCTTTTTGTTTTTCATTGCTCGAATCTTCAGGCGTTATGCCAAAACGCAACATCCACGAACGGATGCCTGTTTTAGCTTCTTTCCATAAATTGGTTGGCCGCTTAAACCCGTAAGCCCTGTATTTGCCTGGTGTAACTTTTCCCTTGCTGTTTACAAAATATTCGAAGTTGCTCACCCATTTTTGAAAAGACCGCATAAATTCATCTTCTGCAATCATGTCTTCGGCCTGGTTGTCGCTATACTTTCTTCCTTTGCCGCTTGTGCAATGCGCCCACAAATTATCAGGCACTTCTACGCCTCCATACCTGCATTGCCATACCAATGGCGCGTAAGCGTCCCTTTCGTTTTCGAAAGGCTCATCATCAGGAGAAAAATAATTTTTGTGTGTTAAAATTTTTGGTCTGCCGCTTTCATCCATTTCATCGCCGCCTTCATCGCCGTAACAAAAAAACCCTGCTGTTCTACCTTCCAAATGATTTACGCTGATTTTTTCCCATTCTTCCGTATGTTCCAACGCTATTGCTTTTTCAGGATCTTTATGGTCGATCGATTTTTCATCCGGATTGCCGCCATTCATACAAACCAACCTGTCAAACATTAATTTCAAATTGCTGCTGGGTGAATACCAGTTAATCGGTCCGATAATCGCCCACGCATCCGCCATGTCAAGGCGAGCATACATATCCATTTCCCACATCAGGTCTTTTTCCATCAGGCTGCCTTTTTCGTAACAATTGCACGGCCAAACACAAAGCGCCATCGAAGTAGATACACATGCATTGCAGCTTTGAATTTTCGCTCTTCCGTACACATTTCCTAAGTCTTCATAATCTATTTCCCAATGTTGCGGCAGCATCTCAGCCATTTGCAACATCAGCGTTCTTGACTTGCTGTCGACACCCGGACAATTGTATTGCCTTCTGTCTGAACCCGAAATAATCAGCACTCTGAAAGGCCGTTCTGCCGCAGGCAGCTTTGCGTTATCGTCGTTTGGTTTCATACAAATTATAATTTGTGTTTTTTTATAAGCTTCTTGTACACTTTCAACAAATGTTCCTGCGAGAATCCTAAATAATACAGCAGCCAGATACGAAAGAAAATTGCCTGCATTTTGTAAATACCGTTATCGTGATATTTTCTGGCCGAGGTAGTTACGGCTGCATTCATCACTGTAAACTTTCCCCACTTTTTTATCCGGTGAATAATTTCCTGGTCTTCCATTATTACCAAATCTTCTCTGAATCCGCCGCTTTTTAAAAATACATCTTTGGTCACAAATAAGCTTTGGTCTCCGAAGCGAATTGCATTGATATCAAAACGGGTAAACCAGGCATTTGCTTTTAAAAACCAATGTTTATCGTCGAACGAAAGCCTGAAACATCCGCTTGCGGCTCCTCTATTTCTTGCTTCTAAAATATATTGCGCAAAATTTGGCGGCGGAATACTATCGGCATGAAGAAAATAGAGAATTTCTCCATTTGCGACTGATGCTCCCCAATTCATTTGCGCACCTCTTCCTTTACGTTGGCTCAATACAGTTATCGCCCCGTTTTCTTTGGCAATCAGGACTGTTTCGTCGGTGCTGCCGCCGTCAACAACAATAATCTCGGTTTCATAAATTCCTTTAAATTTAATCGTTTTGCTGATAGTTTGTGCTATCTGCGCAGCTTCGTTATACGTTGGAATGATAATACTGATCATGCTTTGATAATTCTTACCAAACGCTTTTGCTTGAATAAACAGCAATTGAATGAGCTGCTGTTTTTGACAAACGAACTAAATTCTTAGACTTTTTGTATTTTTCGTATTCATCTCTTCAAATCTTTTTCTTCGTCAATGTCATTTAAAACCTGCAGAAGAAAATAATTTAGATTAAGTTGATTACATGCAGCTACGGTTTTATCAAAAACCCTATTTGTGCTCCAGGCGATATTTTGAAATAAAGATTGATGCAGCCATTTCATTCCCAGCAAATAATAGCCGCCGTCTGCTGCCGGGCCAATAGCAATATCGTGCTGGTTTAATTGTTCAAAAGCCTGAATGATTATCTCACTGGTTATTTCAGAACAATCTGTGCCGATAATAGCAGTTTTAGAATAACCTTTTTCAAACGCATCTTTAAAAGCGTTCATCATTCTTTCACCTAAATCATTGCCTTGCTGCTTTGCTTTAAAACAATTATTCCAATCGTCATTTTGTTCAATGTATTCTGAATAGTATACCATTTTATCGCAAGGCAAATGTTTGGTAACCGAAGAAGTATAGGCAATTAAATCTTTATAAACATTAAAAGCTTCAGCATGACCAATCGCAGCAGCGAGCCGGGTTTTAACCTTTCCGTAAATAAGATTTCTGGCAAAAATGATCAAAAGATTTTTTTCTCTCATAGTGCCAGGATCGTTTCATAAAACAGTTTGCTCAATTTTTCATCTGCTTTTCCTGCAACTTCAATAATCTCCTGAATATTTACAGGTTTTAAATTGTCAGGATCGCATTCATCGGTGATCACCGAAACGGCGGCACAAGGCAGTTGCATTTGTCTCGCTGCAATCACTTCGGGCACAGTCGACATTCCAACCAGATCTGCACCAATAATTTTTAAATAACGATATTCTGCTCTCGTTTCCAAATTAGGACCATTAACGGCAGCATAAACACCGCATTTTAAATCAATGTTTAGTGCAGCAGCTTTTTGTTGTAAAAGATCGTTTAATTCTGTGCTATACGGCTCGCTCATGTCAGGAAAACGTTCTCCCAATTCATCTAAATTTTTGCCAGTTAAAGGATTGCCTGATTGCAGGTTGATATGATCTTCTATCAACACAAGATCGCCTTTTTTAAAATTAGGATTAATACCCCCGGCCGCATTTGATAGCAACAATTTTTGCACGCCAAGCAGTTTCATCACGCGCAAAGGAAAAACAATTTGCGGCATTGAATAACCTTCATAAGCGTGAAAGCGGCCTTGCATGACAAAAGCATTTTTTTTGCCTATTTTTCCATAAATCAGATTTCCTTTGTGAAACTCGACTGTTGAAACGGGAAAGCCGGGTATTTGAGAATAAGGAATGATTTGCTCTATCTCGATGTAATCGAGCAATTTATGCAATCCTGTGCCTAACACAATTCCAATTTCAGGCTGTGTAATTTTTTGTGCGACTAAAAAATCTTTTGCTTTGATAATTGCTTCCATTTTATTTTTTTATGCCACCGCGCCGCCGCAACTTGATCCTGATCCTGCCGTGCATCCATAACAATGTTGGCCGACAATAATATTTCTGCTACTAAGCGTTGCAGTATTAAATTGTGAAATATGTTTTGATGAACACGCGACTTTCAAATCGAGCATCTGGTTAAAATCGCAATCGTATAAAAATCCGTCCCAACTAATGGAAATAGTATTGCGGCACATAACATTTGCAGCCGCAACCGGATTATAAGAAGTGACTAATTTTTCCATGTACTTTTCATAATTTCCGCTTTGCAGCAGATAATCTAAAAAACGGCTAATTGGCAAATTGGTAATGGCAAATAAATTATTGAAGTAAATGTTGTATTGCTTCATCAATGCCAGCTTATATTCTTTTTCCAACGATTGCTGTGATGCAGGTAAAAACGCACCGGCAGGATTATACACAAGGTTAAGAATTAAACCGTTTCCTTCTTTACCATAACCCACTTCATTCAACATTTGCAATGCCTGGATGCTACTTTCAAAAACTCCATCTCCACGCTGCCGGTCCGTTCTGTCTTTTGTATAGAAAGGAAGTGAAGAAACTACTTCTATTTTGTGCTTTTTATAAAATTCGGGAAGGTCGTAATATTTTTTATTCGCGGTAATGATGGTTAAATTGCAACGAACAATTACGTCTCTGCCCAACTCGCTGATTTGTTCTACAAACCATCTGAAATCAGGATTCATTTCAGGGGCGCCGCCAGTTATATCTACAGTTTGTAATTGTGGATTATTTTTTAGTGCAGCCAAACATTGCAGCATAGTTTCCCTTGTCATAATTTCTTTACGATCGGGGCCGGCATCTACGTGACAATGTTTACAAACCTGGTTACACATCTTGCCAACATTCACCTGAAAAATTTGTAATTCAGTTGGTCTTAAAGGATAAAGGCCGCTCTGTTCAAGCTTTTGCTGAAACGGAACCAAAGCAAAATCATCCTTTTTTTTATATTCTAGTATTTGCAATTGTTCGCTTACATCCGCCAAAAGGCTTTGCTGCGCTTTTAATGATTTAATCATGCTTACATCGCTATTTCTTTCACTTTATTCATCATTTGTACACCATGCACCAACGACGCGCCGCCACGAATGGCGCAGGCAACATGGACTGCCTCCATCATCTGTCCTTCGCTCCAGCCTTTTTCAAAAGCATCGCTGCTATACGCATCAATACAATAGGGACATTGCACTGCATGTGCAACAGCCAAAGCAATCAACGATTTTTCGCGTGCGGTCAATTCACTGTCTTTAAAAACTTCGCCATAATAACTAAAAAACTTTTCACCCATTTCTTTTTGAAAGTCTGCCACGTTGCCAAACTTCTTTAAATCGTTTGAGTCGTAATAACTGTTCATGATATTTTTGTTGATGAAGGTAGTGATGATATGTACGAATAAGAATGATTTTTAGACTAATTCGTCAAATTAGATAATCCATTATTTACGGTAATTGCCTTTTTACCAGTAGTAAAAATAAAAGATGAATTGCTGTAATTTTTAGTTTAATAACAAGTAGTTAACCTGAAAGTTGGGAAATGGACTATTTTTCTATAAAATTTTATTTTATAAATTTTTATAGAAAGATCTTTTTTATGCTTTATTAAGTCAAGGTTCGATGGTTTTTGCTTAAAAAAAGCTTTTGGACTTTAAGAAGGTTTTTTTGCAAGAGCAATAATAACTGCCCCGACAGCCATCAAGGCAGCGCCGCCAATTACCTGCCAGGTAACGCGCTCTTTTAAAAAAAGATAGGCAAACAAAATTGCAAATATCAAAGAAAGTCGTTCTATCGGGTTAACCACCGAGGCGTCTCCTAACTTTAAAGCTCTAAAGGTAGCCAGCGAAGAAAAGGCAGTTGCAATACCAGCCAATATTAAATATATCCATGCTTTTTTGTCTATCCGCGCTAATTGAGAAAGATTTCCCTGCACCGTTACTACCAGCCAGGATATTACTATTATAATAACCGATTGAATAGCGAACGCCACGCTCGAGTCGACATCTTTAAGGCCTGCTTTTGATAAAACCGTAACAATCGCTGCTAATAATGCCGCTGCAAGTGCAAAAACTACCCACATAATTTTAGATTTTTTTATATAAGATTAGTAAGTTATACTTTTAAAAGTCGAAATAAAATTTGCAGTTATGCAATAAATATACCCTGCAAAATATGGCTTTTGTTATACGGGCTAATTTAATATCAAAGGTTACTTTTCATTTCCTGGCGAGGAGCTACTTTAAGCCCTTCTTCATCAATCGCAGTCTTGTGGCGGAATAAATACTTTCAGGTTTAAAAGATTAAAAGCCGGTTAGAAGACATGTGCCGATAATCTTAAAATAATAATGTTGTTCTTATAGCTAAGCTACTACTGCTTCCAAAATTCGTATAAACTTTATTTCTGGCACGCCATACGTTTCATTTTAGCAGTTCCACGCCATAAAATTAGTATCGCTATCGTTGTGGTTACAAGCATTAGTGCCGGTATCGGTATCATGTTCCTAAGGTCAAATAAACCTATGAAGGCTGAAAGACCTCCTGCAATACCTATCTGCAAAAACCCCATTAAGGCAGAAGCGCTTCCAATATTATTTTGAAATGGTTCCAGGGCAAGTGCAGAACCATTGGGGTTGATGGAGCCGAGGCAACCTAATGTAAGCAGGAACATAATAATAATAGCAGTTATTCCAAACCAATTGTTTAGCACACCTATTAAAAATATAGCAGCAAAAGCAAAGTGAAAAATTAATGCGGCTCTAAATATCTGTTTACTTTTAAACTTTTTAAGCAGCAAAATATTGATTTGATTACTGGCTATAAAGCCGCACGAGAGCAAACTAAATATTAATCCGAAAGTTCGGGGAGTAACTTTAAACACTTCCATAAAAATAACAGGCGAACCTGCTACATAAATAAATAATGTGGCAAAAGCAAAAGTGCCCGATAAAGTATAAGTGAAGAACTGAGTATTTCTAAAAATAGACCAAAAGGTTAGTAGTATGGGTTTAGGCCTTAGTGAAACAGAGGGATCGGGTCCGGCTGCCCGGGGAAGATAAAGATGGGTAAGCAGCATAATGAGGATTACGATAATGATGAGTGCGATAAATATCCACCGCCACCCCAGACCAGTAGTGATAAAACTACCTAAAGTAGGCGCAGCCAAAGGTGATATACCAATAACAAGCATCAGCATCGAGAATATACGGGCACTCTCTTGTACCGGAAAAAAATCGCGAACCATTGCAAATGCATCTACTGCAGCTACACTGCCTGCTAAGCCTTGTATAAAACGATACAAAATAATCATTTCAACATTATGTGCTTGTGTGCAAGCTAAACTCGCAAATAAATAAATGGTTAGTCCTGCATACAACGGTCGTTTACGACCAAACCGATCTACAACGGGACCGTATATTATTTGTCCCAAAGCCAGCCCCATAAAATAACTTGATAAAGAGAGTGATACTTTGGCCGGTGTGGTATGAATATCTTTGGCTATTTGCGTGAAGGCAGGCAGGTAAAAATCAATCGAAAAAGGATCGATAGTAGCTAATAAGCCTAAGATAAATATTACGAGACTTTTATGCGTACTTATTTGTGTCGAGCCGGCATTTGATTTCTCCATAGTGTAACGTTATATACTTATTTTATTTGCAAAATAACATTATTGACTTTTTTATCATCGTGGTGGTTTGCGACAAACTCAGGGCGCATCCTGACAGACCGTTTTATTCTATCTTCATCTATAAAAGTTAATTATCTGTTGCAACAATTTGAAATGACCTTTCAGCTTGAATTTCTTTGCAAAAGAAACGAAAAGCGTTTATATCCTTTTGAAATTGATTTCGCGGGTAGTCAATAACTTAAATATTTAAAACAGAGAAAAACCTCTCTAAAAACTTCGTTTGTAAACTTTGGCTGAAACTATTTTTCTGATAACAATATTTATCTTAGTTTTTGTATAAAATTTACGTTTTCAGAAAAAAAATGATTGATTATAAAAGAATAATTAAGTGGATTTTGCTGGTTGCATTCATCAGTCGCAGTAAAACCGTTATTGCTTACCCGGTTATTAAAGATCCACGCGCCGGGGCTTGCAGTCGCTTTATCCATAATTCTTGATAAGCTGTAGACCACATCCGCAGCCGTCATTTTTCTTCCCTTACCGTTAGCAAATACTTCGTTATCCTGAAAATAAACATCGCTGCGCAGATGAAATGTGTACCGGAGTCTGTCGTCGCTTACCTGCCAGCTTTTGGCAAGTGACGGCACAATATTCAGGTTGCTGTCGGTTTCAACTAAAGTGTTGAAGATTTGGTGTGCCGTCCACATTACAGAGCGGC